AACCAGAAGGCCAATCCCTGCAAAGCCGATAGCCAGAAACTCTTTGCATGCCAACCCTAAACCCTATGCGGGAACTCATGGCACCACCTATGGATGGACATAGTATGCATCAGCCGATCTCATCCGGGCCGAGACGCAGCAACACTGCTCTGACAAGAAGCAATCTTGACACGCTCCCGCTCTTGGGCAAGTGCAAGCATGGTGACTGAGCCTTCGGCCAGTTCCAACTGCCTCTCCAAGCCTTGCACTTTAGTGGGCTGATTGGACTTTACGCCCGAGCGGTTTGGGGTCTAGGGCTTATGGGCCGCTTAGGGTTTGAGGTTTAGGCTTTAGGGTTATTGGCGTTCCAACTGCCAGCTTAGCGGCGGGGCGCCAAAGTTCGAATCTTGTTCTCGACGCGCCGGCGGTTCCTCTCCTGTCAAATGACCCTCTGCGCTGAAAGGGTGCCTGATTTTAGAGTTTTGGGTTTAGGGCTTGGTTTATGACCAAAACTATGGGCCTTTTTCGTACCCTAAGCTATGAGGAATACGCTCTACCCATAATTTTGGTCAACCCACACAAAGCATGGCCAGGGTCGTGGCGCATGATGCGATCGCACGAAGCCTGCGCACCTGGTAACACAGCCGGAACGCCAACAACAATCCGAAAGCTGTAGAAAGGGCTCCACTGCGAGGGCATGCTGCGGCATGCCTCAAAACCGTGCTGAGCGACACGCTTCATTCTTGCTTCTGATGTGTTGGTCTCTGATTGCATCAAGCTGGTCTAAACCTGAGCCAAGCAAGAGAACACCGTCTCCGGCACTTGCCATGGCTCGAACCCACATCCAAGTTTTTTAGGGGTCGAGCGATGATGCACGGGCCCACGATGATCTGATCGGCACCTTGCGCCGAACACCCCCGCTACACCCGAAGGCCTGAACCAGTTCTCTGGCTTCGCTGACACATGCCACCGTGCCAACCTCGCCCACAGATTGCGGACTGCCGCCCACCCCTGCTTCTTCGCTTCGGCGACCTCGTGACGAAGCTTCAATGCCTCCGAGCAAAACTCTCACAATCCAATTGAGGGGTGTAGGCGTAGGGTTTCGGGTCACTTAAGAAGAGGTTCTGATGAGCAACGTAGGAAAGGGCCCCACCCTCGCCACCCGAAAATGGAGTGGCACCCTCTACCCGGGGACTTCTTCTGCAGAATGCCTAAGTTATGTAAGACCTGCCCAAACCGCATGAAGCATCCGAAATCTGATCCAGACGAAATGGGGCCCCGACCTGGACCCCGCCCCACGGGCCTCTTCAGCCTGAGACCGTTGAAACCTCTCCCTGAGTCCTTCCTCCCGCCCCCGCTGAAAACCGTTGCGCATGCCACACCCCGCGTTCAGCCCCGGCTGCCGAGGCGGCGCGCGCAAGCGCTTACAATGATGAGAGGGGCCCCTATTTGAATCCCCCCTCCATTTCAAGCGGCAGCAAAGACGAGCCCAAGCTTACCCGAGGCGCCTCCTCCACAGACTTGAGGCTCTTTGATGTCAGAAGCCTCCCTGCCCATCGGCGGGCATCCACCTCTTGTGAAGCGTACGTCTGCGACAGGGTCTGCAAGCTAAGGCTTCTCCCCTAACGGGAGGCTGGATAAGCAGCCGACCCTCACTTGAAAGCGCCAGCGTGACCCCTGCGAGCATTGTGCAAAATTCGTTGCGCAGGGGTCTGAAATAGAAGCCATTGTGAGCAAGAGGTCATTCTGGTTGTTCAGGCCAACGAAAAAAACAAGATCCGCCGAGATGGGAGTGCCCTCTGTGCTACGCTGGTCTATCACTGGTGCTAATTCCTCATTCCGATTCAACCCCACTTCCCTGTCCTCCGCCTTGCGCAGATGCAGGAAGCACAGTTTCGGATTCAGGGGCCCTGAGGTTGCTCGGAGAAGTCCAAGGAGGTCGAGCCTGCAGGGGCACCCCGACTGAAGCAGCCGAGCTCGGGCGGCTGTCCATGCGACCTCGCCCACGCCAACATAGAAGACCACCAGGGCGCAAGCAGGAGTCGCAAGAGCTCCCCGAAACCCGACATTCAACCCTACACCCCGAAAACCCTGAAGACTTCAGAAGCCCCGAACCCTACTCAGTAAGGCCCTGGCTTCCGCATGGCTCCGAAGGAAAGGCCTGTCTGAGAATCTCGTCGAACTCCTCTTCCTCGTCCTCCGGAACGGCCTTGAATTGAAGGTTTAGGGTTTAGGGTTTAGGGATTGCGGTATAGGGAGCAGGGTTTAGGGGCTTAGCGTTCGACATCGGGGCGAACCAAATCCGGTCGTGAACGCAAGTGGAGGACTGCAAACCTGATTGTTTGTCCTTCTTCTTGTCGCTACCAGAAAACACCGCACGGTAGTACGCCAACATGTGAACCTTGTTGTTTGTCTTTGTTTCTTTGTCGTTCTGAGAATGGCTAAGTACACGCACACACTGGAGGGGAATACTCCCATGTTCCTGTTTCAAGAACTTGAAAACCCGAACACAATGCAAGAGTCCTCCTTAAAAGTATCTGAGTCTGCCCACAAGTGAAACATGGCGCGAGAGCCATTCTCAAACACTGTACTGGTCCGGCTGTGGTTGAGGTGGTCCCTGGCAACTCCTGATTATCCCCTTGCTGCAGCCTTACACATTTCCGGCCTCCAGTGCATAGCGCAAGTCAGCAAGCAAGAGCCTTCACACGTACACGATCATTCTTTCAGCGGCGTGACACATCCTATACATCCACACAAGCCCAACGCAAGCTCCTGCAACACGCTTCAGTCTGCACCCTAAACCTGTATGTAAGCCCTAAACAGCCTGAGACCCTATAAACTCCAAACCCTAACCCCTAACCCTCAACCCTAAATCCTAACCCCAAAACCCTAAACCCTAAACCCTGAACCCTAAACCCTGAACCCTAACCCTAAAATCTGTCTTGCCAGCTCCTGCCTTGCGCTCTCCGCCATCTCAAGCGTCTCAAAGCACCTCTCGTTAGCCGACGCTTAGGAGCTTAGGGGCCTGATTGACTAGGGAGATTTAGGGTTTGAAGTTCAGGAAATAGGGCTTGCTATCAGCCGAGGTTTGAAAAGGGTCTAGGGGGATTTAGGCTTTAGGACCTTGGGAAGATATACTACGAAACACTGGTGTTGTCCAGGAATCGTCCTACTATAAGGGCCGTAGTATACAACCAGGTTACAAACAACGCACCAGCGGGCTGTTCACGCGCGCCGAAAAAGTAGCGAATTGCGAACATCGTCGCTGCCGATGGTTTCATGGTCCAGGGCAAGCACGAACCGTGCCAAAAAGTTGCGATTTTTTGCAGATTTGCTGCACCTCCCACGCTGCGGCTCTTCAAAACGGCCGCTTTCCATCATGCTTCACATCGCGATGGCACGAAGGATCGCATCCCACCAGTCCTGCTCTCTGTACGATAAATATGCGGCGCCTCAAGCACGGTTTGCAGCCCAGGCTTCCGCAACAAGAGGGCATTCAGCCTGCGCAGATGGTCCTTTCCAACTTCGGGTGCACTGGCAACACGGACGGAATCATGGTGCGAGCCAAGCGTGTCCAGCCGCATCGGTTTTGACACCAGCTGCATCGGTTTTCACGCTGTTTCTAGCCTGTGACCCACACGAAACACTGTACGTACCCATGCTAAACCAAGGCAAGAAAGGCCTGAAACGGCAGGTACCGACACACTGCGCATTCACTGCGCCCACCGATGCTGTCGGCATGTCACCCACACGAAACACTGTAGTCACCAAGGTAAACGACATGTGCAGCGTGCGGGAGCAGCATTTCGGAGGGTACAACGAAGTGCTTTCCTGCCTTTGTCTAGGCTTCAGACGCGCCTCAAGGGATTTGTTTGGGGTTCAGGGGTCCCCAAACCCTAAACCCTAAACCCTAAACCCTAAACCCTAAACCCTAAACCCTAAACCCTACAGTACACCCTGGGGCTCCCGGCCTTGAGCTCACAGACACGCCACGGATTGTGATTCGAGCCATGTACCCCATGCTCTGACCGACCTTGGGATGCAGGGCTTTAGGATTTTGCAGGGTTTGTAGGCTTTTAGGGCTTGTAGGATTTGCAGGGTTTTCAGGGTTTTCGGGTTTTAGGATTTGGGGGTTGGGGTATGTAGGGTTTTAGGGCTTCGGGTGTAAGGTTCTGCAACTTCCCCTGTGCTTTTGCAGTGGTGTTGAACAAGCGCTGGGCAGAAATCGCAGAAAC